TTTCAAACCCATTACGCAGGACAGCATTCAATGCTTATCCTAACACAGTAACCTCCAAGTGTCAATCTTTCAAGAAATCCTTTTGGAAATACCCATTAAGCAATCTTACATCTCGTTATTTTTACTTCTTGCCTGAAAGGCACCACATGCTAGTGGCTTTTATGCCTGACAATATTTTATTACATGTAAACTAAATTACCAGTATACTGCAAAAAAAATTATTTGTATTTGTATGTTCAGCTGAATAAACATAATAATAATAATAATAATAATAATAATAATAATAATAATAATAATCTTTATTTCTACAAGTAAATGTATAAGGTATACAGACCTTGCTGACATCAGTGACATACTATGTAGAAAGCCCCTTGATAAACGGAGCATTTCGGGCAAATAAGGTAAATTTTTGTCCCCAGGATGTAACCCACACAAGTTGACTAACACCCAGGTACCAATTTTACTGATAGGTGAACATGGACAGCAGGTACCTTAAGGAAACAGGTCCGAATGTTTCCATCCATACCAGGGATCAAAGCACGAACCTCAGTGTGTGAGTCGAGTGCACTAGTAATCAAGCTACAGGACACCTAAGAACATAAAAAAGGAATACTATAGTAGGCCTATTTTGGGTTATCCTAGGTAATTTACACAAGTTATTACATGTAGGATAATTGTACTTATGTGCACCTAAATAACTTACTTCTTTCTATTTTTCTTCGTTGGGTTTATCAGGGCCACTGACAGCTTTTGCTGTAAGAAAACTAACATATACTTATTATTTTATTTATTCTTTTACAGCTTATACAATTGACACAAAATAAAATGGTAAGATTCATCCTGGACCTGGGTCTGAGACAGCATGTAGGTCAGGATGAATTACAACAACTAGATATGCTGATCAGTGTCATTGACATGTATAATATGCAAAGTCATGGAGAAGATTAACAAGAGGAGAATGGTGGAGCACCTAGAACAGAACAAGATTATAAACAACAATCAGCACAGATTTATGGAAGGCAAATCCTGGTGCCACAAACCTACTGAAATTTTATGACAAGATAACAGAGGTAAAACACGAGAGAGGGGTGGGTTGATTGCATTTTCTTGGACTGCAAGAAGGCCTTCAACACAGTTCCTCACAAGAGATTAGTGCAGGAGCTAGAGGATCAGGCACATATAATAGGAAGGGCACTGCAATGGATCAGAGAAGATCTGATAGGGAGGCAACAAGAAGTCATGGTATGGGATGAGGTATCACAGTGGACGCCTGTGATGAGCGGGATCCCACAAAGGTCAGGCCTAGGACCAGTGCTATTTTTGGTATTATATCAATGACATGATGGAAGTGTCCCTGTTTGCAGACAATGCAAAGTTAATGAGGAGAATTAAATCAGATGAGGATCAGGCAGGACTACAAAGAGACCTGAACAGGTTGGACGCATGGTCCAGCAACTGGCTCCTTGAATTTAACCCTGCCAAATGCAAAGTCATGAAGATTGGGAAAGGGCAAAGAAGACACCAGACAGAATATAGGCTAGGTGGCCAAAGACTGCAAACCTCACTCAAGGAGAAAGATCTTGGGAAGAGTATTATACTGAGCACATCTCTGGAAGCACACATCAACCAGATAACTGCTGCAGCATATGGGCGCCTGGTAAACCTGAGAATTGCGTTCCGATACCTCAGTAAGGAATCATTCAAAACTCTGTACACCAAGTACGTCAGGCCCATACTGGAGTTTGCAGCACCAGTTTAGAATCCACACGTCAAGCACATCAGGAAATAAGAGAAAGTGCAAAGGTTTGCAACAAGGCTAGTTGTAGAGCTAAGGGGTATGTCCTATGAAGAAAGGTTAAGGGAAATCGACCTGGCAACACTGGAGGACTGGAGAGTTAGGGGAGACACAATAACGGCATACAAAATTCTGCGAGGAATAGACAAGGTGAACAGAGACAGGATATTCCAGAGATGGGACACAGAAACAAGGGGTCACAATTAGAAGTTGAAGACTCAGATGAGTCAAAGGGATGTTAGGAAGTATTTCTTCAGTCATAGAGCTGTCAGGAAGTGGAATAGTCTGGCAAGTGATGTAGTGGAAGTAGGATGAGGTATGATCAAGCTCATGGAGCAGGGAGAGAGAGGACCTAGTAGTGATCAGTGAAGAGGCAGGGCCAGGAGCTGAGTCTCGACCCCTGCAACCACAAATAGGCGAGTACAAATACGTAAATGCTGAAGACAGAGTAAAACAACTGAACCTAAATCATGTTTATAAAACTGATCACAAACAGTGTCCAGAACATCTTGCTGCCAAATTTTTAAAAACTGAGAAGAACAATTATAGTATTAGGGGAAGGAAGCACAACTTCGTAGTAACCCCAGTCAGTGGCCAGGCTACAAACACATTTTATTGTACAGCAATAATGGAATGGAACAGACTGCCTGCAAACTTCAAAACCTGCTACAGCATGAGCCAGTTCAAGAAGAGAACAAAAAGGTACCTAATGAATGTAGCTACAGAAAGAAAGGAGAGTGATTTCTTGTATAGCTAACATACATGTACCTATTATTGTGATCTGATCCTATCTTTAATGCTAGTGTAAATAACTCACTTTACCTTATTCCTAGTATATCTTCTTTCATTGTTTGAATAATTTGTTATTACAAGGACCCCAATGGAAATTACAGTGGACCCCCGGTTAACGATATTTTTTCTCTCCAGAAGTATGTTCAGGTGCCAGTACTGACCGAATTTGTTCCCATAAGGAATATTGTGAAGTAGATTAGTCCATTTCAGACCCCCAAACATACACGTACAAACGCACTTACATAAATACACTTACACAATTGGTCGCATTCGGAGGTGATCGTTATGCGGGGGTCCACTGTAGTCACTTTGAATTTTTTTAGGTTATTCTAGGTAACCTACACATCTGCTGCTATGTATGATAATTTATATAACTATTTGTGTGTACCTGTAACTGAATAAACTTATTTACTGGTCGAGTGCACTAGCAATTGAGCTACAGGACACCTAAGAACATAAAAACAGAGGAACATTGTAGCAGGCATATTTTGGGTTATCCTAGGTAATTTACACAAGTTACTCTATATGATAATTTTACTTATGTGTACCTAAATAAACTTACTTCTTTCTTTTTTGTGTGTTGGGTTTATCAAGGCCACTGACAGCTTACGCCGTAAATAAACTAACTTACTATCTTTTATTCTTTTAGAGCATATACAATTGACGCAACTGAAGCTCGCAGGACCCTATGTCTAGCTTTTATACAATGTCTTGTTCTTCATGGTACTCTGCCTTAACAACAAGAATGGGAATCTACACATATGCTGCTATGTATGATAATCTATGTAACTGTATTTATGTGTACCTTTTCTTTCTGTGTTGGGTTTATCAGGGCCACTGACAACATAAGCCATATCCAGCCCGACTTCTCGATGGCACGACAAAGATTTGTTGCTCAAGGTTGGCGATGTAAGAAAAGGAACAAAGTTCCTTTGTAAATAGAGACAAAAACTTAAGTTTCCAATTAGATCCCGTGGACCCCTTTGCCAAGCCCTAGCAGGGAGGGACGCCTACACTCCCACCTGAGTTCAGTAACCGCCTTCCCTCCAAAGACCGATAAAGAATTTCCCGCAGAGTGGAAAAAAATGGAGCTGGCTAAAAGCCGATGAACAGAGGTGCCCCTTCTGTCAAGTGCCCGGTGGGCAATATAGATGAGGACAAGCGTCCCAAAGAGAATGGGGGAAATTTGTCACTGATACTCAGGCGAGAGAGAGAGAGAGAGAGAGCAACGTCCACACCCGACAAAGGCTGGCACAGAAGGCCCTAAAATCTGGAATTCATTACCTGTAAATATAAAAGAAACACTGTCTGTTTATAAATTCAAGTTACTTCTCAAAAATCACTTACTCACCCAAAACCAAATAAATACTGAATAATTTTATCTTATAAATTGTAACTCATAAATGTTTCTCATAATTGTATCTCAGAAATGTTTAACCTCAGACCCAATCAAACTTTGTTATTTTTTAATTACATTACCTAACAGAATACTCCAGTCTACTGAATGCACATTATTATTATTATTATTATTATAATCAAGGGGGAAGCGCTAAACCCGGAGGATTATACAGCGCCTGGGGGGGGGGATGTGGAAGGCATTCAGGCTTAATTCGGGGAACTGGAGCACTGATCCAATTCCCTAAATCAAGAGCCCCTCACCAACATCAAGGAACCTTCCTTGAGGGGTACTGAATGCACAGCAATACAGTAAATGACCATATGACCTGTCTTTGTAATACTCATTTGTGCTTAATTGTTATCTGTTTACAATAATGTTTTACCACTGAATATATTATTGCTTAGTTAATCTTAAGTTAATTTTAAGCCAGCCCATAATGCTCTGTATACAAGGGGCTTTGGCATGTTGCACTTTATTGTATTCCTTTTTTACTTCTCTGTATCATGTTCAAATTAATAAATTAATAAATAAATAAATAAATTTATGTGAACCTGCACTTTCTTTTCTTTCTTTGTTGGGTTTATCAGGGCCACTGACAGCAGACGCTGTATCGAGCCCGGTTTCTCGATGGTACGAGAAAAAATTGTTTTTGCCCAAGGCTGGACGATGAGAGAAAAGGAACAAAAGTTCCTTTGTAAATAGAGATAGAAACTTGAAGTTTCCAATTAGATACGGTGGACGCCCTTGCCAAGCCCCAGCAGGGAGGGACGCCTACACTCCCACCTGAGTTGAGTAACCGGCTTCCCACCAAAGACCGTTAAAGAATTTCCCGCAGAGCGGAAAAAATGGAGCTGGCTAAAGTAAGCCGATGAACAGGTGCCCCTCCTGTCAAGTGCCAGGTGGGCAAAATAGATGAGGACAAGCGTCCCAGTGAGAACGGGGGAAATTTGTCACTGATACTCAAGCGAGAGAGAGACGTCCACACTCGACGAAGGCTGGCGCAGAAGTCGTAAACCTGCACCTGAATAAAAGCTTCCGCCGTGTTTTGTTGAGGGTTTATAGGGCCATCACAGCTTACGCCGTATCGAGCCCTGCTCCCAAGTTTCTGGGGAAAAAATAGTGCTCAAAGCTGAATGAACATAAGAAAGAAGGAACACTACAGCAAGCCTACTGGCCCATGCGAGGCAGATCCAAATCTCCTACTGGCTTAAATCAATGCCAAACCAAGTCAGATCAGGTCACATCCACTTAAGGAAGGGAGCACGGCATAAGACTTATTTGCACAAGCTAGTTAGGTCCAACCCACACCCACTCATGTATTTATCTAACCTATTTTTAAAACTACACAACGTTTTAGCTTCTATGAAGGCATTCGAGAGTTTGTTCCACCCATCCACAACTCTATTACCAAACCAGTGCTTTTCTTTATCCTTCCTGAATCTGATTTTTTCCAACTTAAAACCATTTCTGCGAGTCCTGTCATGGCTATTGAGAACTGAGAAGATCGTTTTTAGTTATACCGCCTGACTGACTAGTTTATTGTGCACCCTATGCTCATCCTGTGAGCGGTAGAGCAAAAATTAGTATAACAAAGATCACAATGGATCTTCATCAGATTGGTTTAACCAAGTTTGTCAAGGCTGGGAACCAAAACCAGTATTACCTGGAGTTTACCTGGAGAGAATTCCGGGGGTCAACGCCCCCGCGACCCGGTCTGTGACCAGGCCTCCTGGTGGATCAGAGCCTGATTAACCAGGCTGTTACTGCTGGCTGCACACAAACCAACGTACGAGCCACAGCCCGGCTGGTCAGGCACCGACTTGAAGACAGCCAGGGGTCTGTTGGTAATCCCCCTTATTTATGCTGGGAGGCAGTTGAACAGTCTCAGGCCCCTGACACTTATTGTGTTGTCTCTTAACGTGCTAGTGACACCCCTGCTTTTCATTGAGGGGATGTTGCATCGTCTGCCAAGTCTTTTGCTTTCGTTGCGAGTGATTTTCGTGTGCAAGTTCGGTACTAATCCCTCTAGGATTTTCCAAGTGTATATAATCATGTATCTCTCCCGCCTGCGTTCCAGGGAGTACAGGTTTAGGAACTTCAAGCGCTCCCAGTAATTGAGGTGTTTTATCTCCTGTATGTGCGCCATGAAGGTTCTCTGTACATTTTCTAGGTCAGCAATTTTACCTGCCTTGAAAGGTGCTGTTAGTGTGCAGCAATATTCCAGCCTAGATAGAACAAGCGACCTGAAGAGTGTCATCATGGGCTTGGAATCCCTAGTTTTGAAGGTTCTCATTATCCATCCTGTCATTTTTCTAGCAGAATATCCACTAGGAATTTTTATTGACCTAAGAAAAGCTTTTGACACAGTAAACCACCAAATCCTACTCCACAAACTTGACCACTACGGTATAAGAGGCCATGCGCTTGCTTATTTCAAATCTTACATTACTAATAGGTATCAGTACGTCACCATTAAAGACACAGCATCAGCAACACGGCCACTTGATACTGGAGTTCCGCAGGGAAGTGTCCTTGGTCCCCTGCTCTTCCTCATATACATCAATGACCTTCCAAACGTATCCCAACACCTGAAACCCATTCTCTTTGCTGATGACACGACTTATGTCATCTCTCACCCTAATCTTGCCACCCTCAACACCATTGTGAATGAGGAGCTGATTAAAATATCGACTTGGATGACAGCAATAAACTTACGCTTAACACTGACAAAACTTACTATATTATGTTTGGTAGCAGAGCAGGAGATGCACAAATTAACATTAAGATTGACAACACTCTAATTACCAGAAATAATGGGGGAAAATTCCTAGGCTTATACCTTGACAACAACCTGAATTTCAGCACCCATATTCAGCATATAGCCAAAAAAGTATCCAAAACGGTTGGGATCCTCTCCAAGATACGATACTACGTGCCGCAAAATGCCCTTCTCACACTATACCACTCACTTATTTATCCATACCTCACCTATGCTATTTGTGCTTGGGGATCAACTGCAGCAACACACCTAAAGCCAATAATAACCCAACAAAAAGCTGCAGTAAGAATAATCACTAAATCCCATCCCTGGCAGCACACCCCCCCACTCTTCAAAGATCTAAACTTACTCCCAGTTCAGTACATCCACACTTACTACTGTGCAATCTATATCTACAGGGCCTTAAACTCTAATATCAACCTTGACCCAAAACGCTTTCTTGATAGTTGTGACAGAACCCACAGGCATAACACCAGACACAAACATCTCTACGACATTCCCCGTGTCCGACTAAACCTTTACAAAAATTCAATGTATGTCAAAGGCCCTAAAATCTGGAATACCCTACCTGAGAACTCTAGAACTGCAGACACATTCATCACCTTCAAAACTACCATTAGAAAACATCTTATCTCCCTGATACACCCCGTCAACTAACTACACGAATACCACCTGGTGGTTCACACTTATACTCGCTCACTCATTTGACCATAAACAGAAATATTAATCTCAGTCTTAAAATAATGAATCCTGTGATACTCCAATACTGAAACTATATACTGTGCCAAAACAAAAGCATTCACATTGCTAAACTCATAAACTAGTATTTAGTCACTTAGCCATAAGACCAACTTACCTCATAATTTGTAATATTTTACAATTAAGAATAAAACTAAGTATGCCCGAAATGCCTAGCCATGCTAAGCGTTCTAGTGGTACACTCTGTAATCACAATTTTACTACATGTAAACCAAACAATAACCAAATTTCTGTAAACTCAGCATTGTAATCCTTATAGAGAATAAACTTTGAATTTGAATTTGAATTGAATTTGATGCGATTGATACAGTGGTATGGTCCTTGTAGGTGAGATCCTCCGACATGATCACCCCCAGGTCTTTGACGTTGGTTTCTCGCTCTATTTTGTGGCAGGAATTTGTTTTGTTCTCTGATGAAGTTTTAATTTCCTCATGTTTACCATATCGGAGTAATTGAAATTTCTCATCGTTGAACTTCATATTGTTTTCTGCAGCCCATTGAAAGATTTGGTTGATGTCCGCCTGGAGCCTTGCAGTGTCTGCAATGGAAGACACTGTCATGCAGATTCGGGTGTCATCTGCAAAGGAAGACACGGTGCTGTGGCTGACATCCTTGTCTCTGTCAGATATGAGGATGAGAAACAAGATGGGAGCGAGTACTGTGCCTTGTGGAACTGAGCTTTTCACTGTAGCTGCCTCAGACTTTACTCTGTTGACTACTACTCTTAGTGTTCTGTTTGAGGAAATTATAGATACATCTACAAACTTTTCCTGTTATTCCTTTAGCACGCATTTTGTGCGCTATTACGCCATGGTCACACCTGTCGAAGGCTTTTGCAAAGTCTGTATATGTTACATCTGCATTCTTTTTGTCTTCTAGTGCATCCAGGACCTTGTCGTAGTGATCCAGTAGTTGGGACAGACGGGAGCGACCTGTTCTAAACCCATGTTGCCCTGGGTCGTGTAACTGATGGGTATCTAGATGGGTGGCGATCTTGCTTCTTAGGACCCTTTCAAAGATTTTTATGATATGGGATGTTAGTGCTGTCGGTCTGTAGTTCTTTGCTATTGCTTTACTGCCCCCTTTGTGGAGTGGGGCTATGTCTGTTGTTTTTAGTAACTGTGGGACGACCCCCGTGTCCATGCTCCCTCTCCATAGGACGGTAAAAGCTCGTGATAGGGGCTTCTTGCAGTTCTTGATGAACACGGAGTTCCATGAGTCTGGCCCTGGGGCAGAGTACATGGGCATGTCATTTATCGCCTGTTCGAAGTCATTTGGCGTCAGGATAACACCAGATAGGCTTGTGTTTACCAAATTCTGTGGCTCTCTCATAAAAAAATCATTTTGATCTTCGACTCTCAGTCTGGTTAGTGGCTTGCTAAAAAACTGAGTCATATTGGGACTTGAGTAGCTCACTCATTTCCTTGCTGTCATCTGTGTAGGACCCATCTTGTTTAAGTAGGGGCCCAATATTGGATGTTGTTCTCGACTTTGATTTGGCATAGGAGAAGAAATACTTTGGGTTTCTTTCGATTTCTTTTATGGCTTTTAGTTCTTCCCGCGATTCCTGACTCCTATAAGATTCCTTTAGCTTTAGTTCGATGTTTGTTATTTCTCTGACCAGTGTCTCCCTACGCATTTCAGATATATTGGCCTCTTTTAGCCTCTCTGTTATTCTTTTCCGTCGCCTGTAAAGGGAGCGCCTGTCTCTTTCTATTTTACATCTACTCTTTCTTTTTCTTAAAGGAATAAGCCTTGATCATACATCGAGTGCCACAGAGTTAATCTGTTCTAGGCATAAGTTGGGGTCTGTGTTGCTTAGTCTATCTTCCCAGTTTATATCGTTTAGGACTTGGTTTACTTGGCCCCACTTTATGTTCTTGGTATTGAAGTTGAATTTGGTGAAGGCTCCCTCGTGACTAATCTCATTTTGTCGGTCTGGGGCTCCGCGCATACATGTCTGAACCTCGATTATGTTGTGATCTGAGGATATTGTTTTTGATATGGTGACATTTCGTATCAAATCATCATTGTTAGTGAAGATGAGGTATAGTGTATTTTCCAGTCTAGTAGGCTCTATTATTTGCTGGTTTAAGTTTAATTTTGTGCAGAGATTTAAAAGCTCGTGTGAGTGTGAGTTTTCATCAGAGCTGCCTCCTGGTGTTATCACTGTAACAACATTATTTGCTATATTCCTCCATTTTAGGTGCCTTAAGTTGAAATCCCCCAGGAGCAAGATGTTGGGGGCATGAGCTGGAAGATTTTCCAGACAGTGGTCAATTTTTAACAGCTGTTCCTGGAATTGCTGGGACGTTGCATCCGGAGGCTTGTAGACTACTGCAATGACTAGGTTTTGGTTCTTGATCTTTACTGCTAAAACTTCCACTTCATCATTTGAGGCATTAAGCAGTCTGTGCAAAGAAGTGACTGCGATATACAGGCCAACCCCTTCCCCTTTGCCTGTTCACTCTGTCGC